TATATTGGTATTGTATTTTATTCTTATCGGATAACCCGATTTACGGGAGTCGTCATGATATTATAAGACAGATTTAACACCAATAAAAATTAATACAATACTCGCATTTTCTCGATTATAATGCACACTTTCTTTTTTCCGACTTAATTAATTCGACTCGGTTATTTTCGTTCGCTCCTCAGTTACGTGTATTACGTCATCAATATACAAGCGCGTCCTATCTCTCCATCACTTTGCTTTTGGTTTTCGTTAGTTTAATCTTATTTTAACTTTAAAAATACTGTATTTTTTTAATATTTAATATTTTCTTAATCAATTGAAAACAATGAGAAAATTATTAATTAATAATAAAACGATTTTATTATTTTTTCTCGTTGACGATTTCATTACAATCGCGGAATCGAAAAAGGAAGTAAAACTGATTTTTGCATTAATGCGTTTATTGTTTTTTGAATATTTTGCCTGCGAAAATGACTTGGATATTATTTTTCTAAAAATATCGTGGAATTAAGGTAGGTTGATACAGAAACTATTTATCGCACGTGTACTGTATATGAGCTTCAAAACAAATAAATAAAAATAGATTTTATCAAACGATGAGATCAGCTGATTAATTGTATCGTGTACAATATTTTACACCCCCAAGGAAAATACTGTAGAGTTCTAGGGTAAAATAAATTTTGTTTTCCCATAGTTAAACTTCGCCGCTAATTGCTGTTGTGATAACTTTAATATGATCTTGTAACGACAGCACTTTGCATTTCGGACATTTTCCAACAAACTGAAATGAATTTCCTTTGTTGCTAGACTAATTTATTAACATCTGCACCTAATTTCGAGGGTGGGAGAAGTGCCCGGGATGGGTTCGAACGAGAGTTTAGACTAATTCATTATACTGTATTAGGAAGTGGAAACGTTGTTGAGATGGGTTCTTACAATAGTTTAGACCGAATACATTCGCGAAAGTGGTCGCTTATTACAGGTGTTGTATGTTGTTTCGGACCAAAAATCGATGCCCGCGGTCGCGTTACACAGGTGGTCGTTTAATACAGGTAATTTATACGAAGACTCTATGGATAAACCATTCCGTGCCAGAAATTTTTGCCCTTTTTGACACGTGCCCGTCGAATGCAGGTGGTCTCCTAAGCAGTTTTTACTGTACATGCATTTTGGGATTTTTATGTACAGTACATATTTTTTATTATCGAGTATAACCAAAATCAATCAAGTGAACCACTCACTACCTCTGTGTTGTAGTGTTAGAGATGTTTTAATTAATGAACATATATGCCCAGTTATAAAGTTGAATGGGAATAAAGCATTTATTTTATTAAACATTAAAGTAAAGCAAAAACAAGATTGCATACAAACTATGCTCTTAAAAAAAATAACCAAAATTTCCTAAACACTAAAACAATTTTCTATTCTTTGTTTAGTAACGAAGGGGAGAGCGCGTACGCAGTCCCCAGCTACCACAAATTACACGCTCCATCTGCCCCAGTTTGGGGTAGTGGCAGGGGTCAACCCCATCCCAGTGCAATGATGAGGCCTCGCCCTGGAGGTGCCGCCACCAGGACCACGGCAACTCTCAGCGCCAGGTAAGTATGAATTTACACTTCCATTTTACCCTCTTATTCTCCAAAGCTACGTCCCGATCGCTGGTGTTTTAATACCAAAAACCATTTATTTACAAACTCGCTTCTCGAACTTTAACTTTTTGTACAAAATTCTCTCAGAAATATGTTTCTCGCGTGAAGTTCTTAAAAATGTATTGTTTCGTCGATAAATAGTTTCGAATTTCTTCCTGAAATTACATTCCGTCGATTCGTATTGTTGCTCCATCTAGTTACGACTTGTAGCATTTCTATTAATATTTTAAAATTAGCAAACTGAGTTTCGAATTCGGGTTAAAAAGCAAATACCACAAATTCACAAAGAGTGATGTTACTGTTGTCTCTATCGTTTTGTTCCCATTGATTAATTATAGTATCTAAGTTTATTTCCTGGTCTGCTGTTATGGTTATGGATGATATTCATTATAATGTTTATAGAAAATTATGTCAATTTCGTCACTTTTCGCAAACTATGGTAATTCTCATCCGTAATTGCGTAAGGATTTTCATTCTGAAACTGCGGTGGTGGGGTGGTTGTTATTCGCGCATCAGTGGCGTGCCGTGCCTGTAAGAAGTTGACTTACAGGGGCAATCAGTTAATTGCGCGTCAGGACCCATTCGTATTCGTTCGTTCGATAGGCCAGTAAAAACCGTACACTTCTTTAAATGTATTTTTAATAGATAAATAAACAAGTTCAATATAATTATTTCTCTTATTAGATTCAATAGATTCCTATGTCCTCTAAATGCCAATTCTTGCTTTGATAAAAAAAAATATATATATATAAGATCTATTAATTTAGATATAATATATCTATTAGCCGTAATTATCAAGTTATAATTTTCAATACTTATTTTATATTGTTTACTAATGTTAAATTCTATTCTGCTTTGATTTCCAAATTGCTTTAATTTTACTAAAGAATCGATGTGACATTCACGATTTTCGTGTCTTTTGCCAGCTTTACTCAAATTATTTAAATCTTCAAAGCCATTCTTATTCCACACACTAATTTTATTTGAAAATAGTAGGCAAGGCCAACAAAACAATTTTTGCATTTCTATGCACCCACAAAGCCATTTTTATGTCTTCATAAATTTTATGGTGAAAATGTCGAACAAATTTTTTTGTTGACGTATTTATATTTAATTTAGTCATTGGTCTTTCTCTTTTAATAATGTTTTCTTTTTCGTTATATGGTCTTGAGCCAAAACTTTTTAAAAATAAATTTTCAATATCGCAATTACATTCTAAATCGCTAGCCATTGTGAGGTCCTGGAAGGAAGTCAACGTAGAGGTCTGAATGTGAACTATCAATCGAGAAATAAAAAATCTTTTTCAACTCGAAAGGAAGAAATTAAAGATCTCGATTACACAAAGAAAGTTTTTTTTGTATATTATTTAAACAATAGAAAATACTAAAATCGAGGGAAACATGGCTTGAGAGGAGTCGTATTTAGTCGCGAAACTGACCTCTCCTGCACCCTCCCATCGGTTTGAAATTGTCACCAGGTGACGAGTCGGGACCAATGAAAAGGCGGCTTTAGGGGAAAAACTTATAAAACTGCGCGTTTCGAGGACGGGGGTTCTTGATTCGTAGTCCTTCCATCTTGGACGTGTGTGCTCCCGTGGAATTAGGAAGGAACTTTTTGGACATCGTGGAAACAAACTGTTCTGCTGTGTCATCTAGTGCCATCCAGATTCATCGGTTCGTCCGAGAAAAACCGCCGGAAGTCTTACAATACGCCCCGGGGCCTATGATTGTGTCGCCGCCCTCGCCGAATCGTAGGAAAAGAAAACCCGAACATTCGAACTTTATTCTTGCGTTTTGTGCTGTGTTACCCCTTTATTCAAGAAAATATTGTAAGAAATTTTTATTTTATTAAACGATTTTAATTAAATAGTAAACCTGTCTCCGCAAGTCTTTCCGCTCCCACACGACAGTGTTGATCGCTCGATTGTCGTGACACTTTCCACCCAATCGGCTAACCTCACACCATGATATAAGGGCTAAAATTAAAAATAAAATTATCAGTGGCGTGCCGTGACATTTGATGATAGGGAAGCTGTGTTTCTGTAAGAAGCCGACTTTCAAGGGTAATCAGTTAATTCCGCGTCAGTGATGGCATAGTGTCCATTCGTATTCTTTTGTTCGATAAGCCAGTAAAAACCATAGACTTCTCTAAATGTATTTTTAATATCATGATTATATTATGAATCGCAAGCCACGATATAAGGGCTTCAATTAAAAATAAAATTATAAAAACTTACTTGGTGAAATAAAATGTGTGGTGGATATATTGCATACCTGGTACAAAATATTCTTCAATTGTATGAATATACTTTTAAAGAAAAATTAAAGTACGGTTTAGGGTTCCCTGAGGGGGCGAAAACCCCAAATTGTAGACCCCCTATGCGATCAAATAGTGGTTAATGAATGGAATCATAGACAGACCTAATAGGTGTGCTGAACGCAGGCTGCCAAATCCCGAGGGTACCGATACTGGTTAATGTCAAATGCCTCTTTTGTTGCATCACTAGTATACCTCAAAGGAGCGACAGGGTTGTAAATTTTAAACGTTTCTCACCATAGCTGTAAAAGTCTAAATATGTTAAACTTAATAGATTGTCCGTTATTTGTTTTCTAACTAATTCGTTTTAGGAAAAATTAATTCATTGAACTGGAAAATTTTCTGTCTTTATTACATCTAATATTACAGTAGAACCCCTCTAATCCGTCACCTTTGGGTCTGGGGGTATGGTCGGAACGCAAAAAAGGTCGGATTATCAGAAAAAAGTAAAATAAACAATCTTCCCCTTTGTCCAGTCTTTGTAGCACTGCTAATTTTTCATTTAATGAAAGAGTAACGTGTTTACGTTTCACTCCTGNTGAACTTCAATACAGTTTCTTCAATGATTTCTCCAATTGCAGAAATATATTTTTTTTTAATTCAACTTCTTTCAGAGATCAGAAAATTTTATTTGATTAATCATGTATAAGTTTTGTTGACTCAAACCATTATTGTTTTATCTTGGTTATGGAAAAATTTCACTAAAAGCTAGATCAGAGGAATAAGATGGTAGCAGAAGAATAGCAATTCCATATTTTACCAGGTAATGGCTTTATGTGGCATGTATTGTTATGATGAACTATCTAATCTTTCTATCACTATTTTTAAAGTTGTTTCAGACAAATTGCTTCATGTAATCACTGAAAAATGGTAAGATAAATAATTGATTGGACTTCAGAACTAAATTTATAAACAAAAAATTCCTTTTGTGTCAAAAAATGTCACCAGCAATTGTCAAAAAAGAATAGGATTGAAAACGTTGGCTTTCGAATTTGATTCAGACTTATATCTTCTTCCTGACAATGAAATGAAACTTAGGTGTATAGCTATTCACTATCAAAGCTATACACCTAAGTTTCATTTCATTGTCAGTAAGAAAATTCACAATCCAACCTGGATCAGTATCAAGTATTTCCATGCTGTTATTTTTGCTAGTCAGTGAAAAAATGAAAAAAAAAAAAAAACTTTGCCAGTGAACATTTCAGCTTAAGAGCCATTATGATGGCATGCATGACATGTTCCTATAGATATCTCCAGCTGTTCTGCAATCTCTTGAAATTTTTCCATCTGTGATTGATAATTGATTGAATTTGTCCAACATTTGCATTGATTCTTGCAATTCAGCATTGTACACTCACTACATTGATCATCAATTACAATGATTTCTCCAATTTTAAATTTTTCATGCGACTCATGACATTTTGGTTTTTATACAGCACCCCTGGAAAGCATTTTATTGTGACATTCATTTCTGTTGGTCCTCTCCAATTTAAAGCAAAATTTGATGATATTTTCTGTTCTTCTAATCATTTCCTTATAAATTTTGAAAGGTTTTGCTACTTTAATTATTTTTCTATGAAAATACATACTATTAAATATGTGCAAATGAGATAATTCTAAAATTATTATTATATGAATACACAAAACTGATCTTTTGTAAATCAAAAAAGTTCTATCATTGATACTTTTTCATTCTACATGCTCATTTCTGTAACTTTTTGAACACACACAGACAGACAGAGAAATATGTAGGCCTATAGGTAAATGAAAAATGTGTAAATTTTTATTAAATATATTGATAATTCTAGTCTTAAACTAAAAATTAAACAGAAATTATGAATTAAAATTACTATCCAAATTATAATTTAAAATATATATACCTGCTGCATCATTAAATTTTTCTTGCCTTAAAGCATCAATTAAATTACCAACAGTGGCTTTATGTCCTTCTTGAGCATGCCACTTTTCCATCAGATTTAAAAAACATTCTTTTAGATCCCATAAATAAATGTTGGCTTGAATCTGAATAGTGCTACAACAAGAAGACATACCAAGACGATGTGCAAGTGTTCTCCAATTTCGAACAAGATGATTATTTTCTCTTAGTACATCAACCATTTCATTATTAATCTCTAAAAATACAATAAATACATTTAAACTTTCTGCAACTTGTATTTTTATCATTAAAATTAAATTGTACATATAACAAATTCATAATTATTCATGTCATACAATAAATTTTTTTTAAAAATTTGTTTTTCAATCCAGAAATAGTCCCCAAAATAAATTTTAAGTTATAAATGTAGGAATAGTAATAGAAAGGACAATAATATCCTAACATTTGTAACCATCTTCAAATCATGGATAGGACAATAATGTTCTAGTGTCCATAACCATCTTCAGTCCTCCTCACACCTTCACCAACTGTCATCGCCCCTTACTTGTTTCCCTCTCCTGTTCTCCCTCGTCTACTCTGCAACCCTTAGTTTATTTTCTTAACAGTTTAGGAATTTGACTTATCTAACCCCCACATAAACAACAAAATAAAATTTTTAAAAATATTTAATTTTATTGAATGCAATAGTGTCCATAATAGATGATGCATATGTATTAATTCAAATAAATTATTGTCTTTTACAAAATGCATTAATTGGAAGCTTATCCGTCCCATAACAGTACAGACAATAATTTATTTAAAAAACAAAAAACTTTGAATAAAATAAAAGTTCTGAATTTTTCTTACTAACTAACACTGGTATATTTTTCCCAAAAAATAGATCATCCTATTAGAAATGGAATTAAAATTTTTGGGATTGACTAATTTCATAAAATAATTTTGAAAGTCATTTAATCAAATTTTTAAATTGAAATCAATTAAAAATTTTTGGAAAATTTACTACAGTATTTGCATACAGAACAATAACACAGTGTCACTAAAGAACTGAAAATTATATAAAATTAGAGAGAGGGGGGAAAAAATCAATATATCCAGAGAGTATGAAATTATTCTTTGGTTTTTTAAAAGTTTATTATTGAAAAAATGCTTTAAACTCTTGAATAAAATTATGTTTTAATATAAATTTATTCGCAAAGACAAAATAATAAATATCTTTTCTAAATATTTCTTGTATATTATCATTGTTAATTATGTTTGATAGTGTTTTGTAACTTGTAAACATAAAATTGGAATTTGTTTATTCAGTAGCATATTGTGTATATAAATTTCAAAATGATTAATTTCTGAAAAATTTATTGTATATGGTTAAACAAATGATAAATAAAACTCCAATTTCATAAATTATATATATACTAACTTAATTTAAATATCACTTTCTCAACATTTTTGGGCAATCAAGACCATACAGGATAAACAAGACTCTTATATCTTCTGATATTCTTTCATAAGCTCCAATAAATTAGTTTTGATGCATATATTTTCAATTTTATCAGATACGTAAGACAACCATAATAAATTTCAGCAAAAACATTTACTGGAATTTATTAGTTGTCTTGGTGTCTGCTAGATATATTTTCCAATTTTTAATAATTCAATTTTTAATTATCAATCTTAAACTATCTATCAGGATCATTTAAAATTGTTATTATCTGTTTTCATCAAGGTCAAAGGTAACTTTTATCTTAATTTTAAATAACTAGAATAAATCTAGAATACTGATATCTAATCTATTCTGTAGCATGTTATTCCAGATCTAGTATGAATGTAAAGACATTGGAATAACAATCCTTTTGTTCTTCATATTGTATTTGTTCATGTGAAAGTGAAAAAATCTAACATTAAATACTCAATGAAATAAAAAAATCTGTTAAAAATGTGGGTATATTTTTCTTTATTACTAACGTATTGAATTAATATCATCCGTGAAAAATCTATTATGTATTGTTAATCTACTTGTTTAAATTTTCATATTAATATGACTAATAGAAAAAACCTGCAGTGGTACATCAGGTGTAAATTTCTTTGTGAAAACTGCATATGGAAGTTACACATATATAATATTATCAGCAAGGTTAAAGGAACACAAAGATAACATTTGAATAGAAACATATAACAAAATTAATATTCCTTGCAATATTAAAAATACCACAGAATGAAACCAAGTGGTATAAATATAATTTTTAATTTTCATATAAATTTTCTAGTTTTATAAAATTTACTGAAAAAAGGATTTCTATGGCTATTTAAATAGAAGAGCCATTCTTACCAGCATCATGAAATTTTATTTGAATGCTTAATATATTGTATATTTATTAATTATTCACATTTTACAGTTTCTATAATTTATTTTATTTACAGAAAAATAGTGAAAATATATTAGATAGATTTTTATACAATAAAATTTTAAATATTCTATATTAATTTTTGCTTACTGTTTTTTTTTTTACTATTTATGTAAAAATCTATTTGATTCTAGATTTAAATTTCTATTTTGTTCTGGTGACTAAATCTGAAGATAGCTTACAAAAAAGAATACCAAATTTCATTTCTCAATTAAAAATTGCTAGTAAATTAAAAAATGGCTTTCTTTGGTAAAGAATCCAATTACTTTGATATTTACCATATAACATGAATAACGTGACAATAAAGAAAGTTATCATCATGATCTTTTTCCATTTTTTTTACATTAAAATCAGCATTATTAATTTCACAATTGAACATTAATTAAATAATTATAAGTGTCTTACCCTGAATTCTCTTATCAATCCTAATATCATTGTTAACTTCTTCTTCGATGTTTAAGGAAATAAGCTCTTTATATAACCAATCGTAATTTTCAGCTAAACCTTCACAAAAACAAGAAAAGGCTTGAGGACCTCTGCGTGGAAGTATGTTAAGCAACATATTTATCTTTCCTCTTTCCGTTTTTTCATTTTTAATTAAATCTTCATCATCATCTGTTAATACTTCTGACAAATATGGTAAAATATAACCAACTCTAACATCCTTCATTAGTTTTGAATGAAGCTTTTTAAGGCGAAGCTGATCATGCGAATCCATGCTATGTTAAAAAAAATTCTACAAAGAAAGAATGCCATTATATACTTTAAATTTTAAAAAATAATCAAAAAATATTAAACTAAAAATATTTTGTAGAAAATATTAAAAATTCAATTTAATAATATCAATAAAACAGTTTATTAATTAATTTATTGTAAAAATTTATTCATTTTAACTTATTGATTTTTAATTTAATAATCAACAAACCAGAAAAAAACAGTATTCAAATATTCAAGTTTTAAAAAGTATTATTAATTTAAAAATAAGATAAAATAAAATAAATAAACAAGAGATCTTGAAAATAATACCCAAAAGTAATACCAATATCTAAATTAATGACAAACGTAGAAAGATTATAGTGAACACCACACACATTAGTAAATAGAGAATTTAACTTGAAGTAAAGGGGAAAGCATTATAAATCAGTGCTATTGAAATGGTAATCTGCAATTTATTATTGGTCCAGAACTAGGATTGCCAGATTTAAAAATAAATAACAGGATATGTATATTATTTATACATGGAGATTAAATTTAGCTAAATTTATTTTAAACAACATGGAACATATCTGAAACATTGTTAATCCCTAATTTTTAATATTTTGACAAAAAAAGAATTGAAATTATAAAGTTATTCATGACCATGCCAAATCTTCAACTGGATTACACATGCAACAGTTTGGCATATTAATATTTGAGTGAACTCTTAACATCCTTTAAGAGGACTTTTTTCCAATGCATAATTATAAAATTCAGAACATGATTTATTTTCATTTACTAGAACTTGCAGTATGCTTTTCATTTTACTAAAGTCTAGATGATTTTGATCTTTGGACCACTGAACAGTCGTAATAGAAAATATTTGTTCCACATGTGCATTGTGTGCAGTGATACTGGAAAGATTAACAACAATTCTGAATACTGACACTTAAATTCACAATTCTGAAAATATGTTTGCCACTTCTGCTAGCTAGACATTGCTCTTCATTTTTCATTGTCTTTTTCTGCACATTTTCCACAAATTCACAAAGATTCACATATTGGTTGAAAAAATCAGTGTCATTAATTTCCAAGTTTTTTCAATCAAAACAGTGCATGTTTCTTCCACCTCTTGCCAAATCAGTGTTTTGAGAAGTATCCATGTAAACAGTTCTTATTTCATAATCTTATATTCATTTAGTAAGAAGCTAAAATTAGTAATATTTGCTGGATATATTTATTCACTTTTATAGCACTTAAAAGTCAGGTTTTTTGGATGAATAAACCAAAATGTTATGTCCTTCAAATCTGACAGTCACTCAAGTTTTATTCTCAGATATTTTATTTAAATGCATTTTGGATCAGAGTTCTTGCCAAGAAAAAAAAAACAATTGAGGACTTGTTTTTTTTTCTTGTTTCTTTTTGCTTCAACCAAGAACTGCTAACTTTTCTCAGGAGAAATGGCTTCTGACTTTAAAACATTCTCCAAGCTGATAAGTTCACTTCATAGCATTCATTGATAATCATCTTTGTTTCTTTAAATGTGGACAAAACTTCAATAATGCTTTTGTCATTCCCTTCAATTTCCAGTATCTTTACACTCAATACATGAGAAAAGGTATGTACAAAATAAAAACAGGCTTCACTTAGAGGTGAAGAAAAAAATTATTAAAATTACAGGAGCATTTTTCTTGCAAGAAGAAGTGGGATTTCAAAGCATCAAACAACTTCAGTACTCAATCAAAAGCAGGAGGTATTCTAACACGTCTTAGAATGAGAAAGAACTGTTTGATATTGAATTCCCACAAATTCAGAAAACTCCTTCAGTAGTTCATTCCATACAGTACTTATAAAAAAATGAGAAAATATTTTCATTGTTATAACTTCAACATTTACAGTAGTATACAAAGTGTTTTGCAAGAGATGAGCAGGGCAGCCAATCCCTCCAATCATCATTTAAAGTTCTTTTCAATTCAAAATAAACATTGTTGGTTCCATGGCACTCTCAACCACAAAAATTTGTATTGCAATTATCTCTGCAGAATGCAATGCACTTTTTACCATCCAAATGACAAACTTGAATTGTNTGTCGAAATTCCCCCATTGGGGGGAGATGGACAGGATTAAGGCTTACCCTGAAGAACTTGGCTTCTATTATACTATTTTAGATGCGGTTTTTTACGTTTTTGATTGCGTTTTAATAGGGTATGTCAAGAAAATGTACACTAAGGGATTTTTCGAAAATTCCCCCCCCCGGGGGAAGTGTTATACATTTATAATAGATACATTTTGAGCCACAACAACGCGCGGCGGGGTCTGCTAGTACTGTACATCATACTTTCACTATTAGCAATATAGTCATGCTCTAACTAACTCTTTTCGAGGAAAAATATTTCAGTTAAAATAACGTGACTTCTTGTCTAGATCTATGTAAACGTCTGCTATATACAAGACTTTTATGTACAGTTAATCGGAGCCTATTTCTCCTACACTTTTCTCGTATTGTTCAGACTTTCACCTATCTCGAGATTCAGAAAATACAGCCGGACAGAAAACGACAGTGAGATTTATAGGTCTACAATTTTTTTCAAATTGCAGTCCAATGTAAAAAGATTAAACAAAAAATCATGACAAAATACATAAATAAAAACAATATATATGCAGAGAGAATACATTTATTGTATTTTATCTACATACACACACAAAAAAAACGGACAAAAATATGTCATAATACAGTATATTAATTCTGCTACAAACACAGACTAACACTGACAATGCAACTTGAGACGAAGTAAACATCTGAAGAGTTATTCAATTGCCTAATCACAATAAAAATGTGCCCTAAAAATAATTCGTTTAGTTATAATTGTCTAGTAATAAATAGCTGTTGTTCTTGAAGGAAATATTAGTACAATTTCTTTTTTGATGAGAAACATCTCTTAGTTTTAACATTCCGGAGAACACGGAGTGCAAAGTTTTCGCCAGCTGCAAAAAAATATAAATTAGTTTATAAAGTAAGTATAGAAAAATATTGATTATCTCAATTCGTAATTTGTGAGAAATATACCTTAAAAGGAAATCTCTTCGTGATATCGAAACATCCTCCAATGTTTATTGCCAATGCGACCTTCCCAAAACGCTTTATGAAATCCAAGACCTGTACATTTCAAATATATGTTTTAAGGAAATTTCAAAATATACCATAATTAAATTACAATAAAATTACACGCAACATACTTTGAACTTAAATTGCAGAGAAAGATCGCAATCTACCACATTTCGAATATCTTGAAACGTATTTTCCATCTGAAATAAGTTGAAGAATTATGCTTAAAATATAGACATACCAGTATATAAAGTTTTATAAGGTATTTTACATACCGAAAAAGCGACGTAACAGGCAAGAAATCCATACACAAAACAAACAAAAGTTAGGATGATAGATAAACTTAGCATTATATATTTGATAACGTTATTCATATCTACATACAGATATGTGAAAACGCAGAAACTGGTTCCGAGTATGATAGATGTATGAATTGCAATCAAAATAAAATTAAATTTATTGTTTATTTGTGATACAATATACCATAAATCATCATGACGGGCAATGAATCCTTGCAATCGGAATTGAAGATTATGCTGGTGTTTTCTTAACAATGTGAGTTCTGACGACAGCTGTTGGAATTCTTTTATGACTACAAATCCAATTATTAACATTAATAATAAAAAGATAGCAATTCCATCGATGGCAAAAGTAATCCATAATCCGTATTCTATGCAACAAATGAACGCTTCACCTGCAAATGTTGCATTCTTATACCATACGGGATAAAGAATAAATACATTTATTATTGCTACCCAAAGTACCAATACAAATACTATTAGAGAAACCAATAATACAGAATTGTTAATTGCGTGGAATACCTTTTCGTTCTTAAACACTGCATTTTTCAATTTTATATCAAAGTTAAATTTGTTATATTTAAAAAACGTGAGGACCAATGAAGGAATTAGTGATAGAACTATAATTCCAACTTTTATTGTTGTTGCTCCGACAGTGAATACAGAAAGTGACGCTTCACAAGGGAATTTATAAATATGCGTTGGGACAACCTTCAACAGAACCAACACAAAATGTCCCCATGCGAATAATTCGGCAATTCGGATGTGGTATTTTTTTATTAGTTTATACGTGGAAGGTTGTCTCGCTTGACAGTTACAAGGCTCGTTGAGTTGTATACCAAAAATTATCGCAAAATTTAACCAAGGTTGTATATAGCAGTTGAAGCAAATCTCTTCTTTCTGTATCGAAGACATGTTCAGTTCTGAAGTACGTTAATCAAGTATCGTTCGAGTAGATTTGTGTAGAGACATAATTTAGAAATCTCATTATGCCTGGACATTCCACAATGCAATTAAGGAAAATATTTCAGAAGAAATTGGAAATCTTGGTCAGTATATTAGAAAATTAATTATGTGATTGTTATTCTTCTAACTTAATTAGTATATCAAACATTGCATCGAAAATTTAATTACTTTATATAACTCGAACATCATATACTAATATTTGAATTACTAAAACCATTTTATCTTATTATTAAAACACTATCATTATAACAATGTTATTTTAAATATATTTTCAAAGCAACCTTTCCTTAATACATTTTTATGAATTTATAGTTATAAGGCTATAAATTAAAAAGGAATAACTATACAGTATTTAACTTTAATGCAAACTTTATTAGTTTAGATTCAAATATCTAGCAATTTATAAAATTTTTTATTAAAATTATAATAAAAAAAAATTGACACAGAACTATAGAGTACCTGCTGAAAGTTTAATACAATTAGGCCTATAAAAATAATAATAAATAACATCAAGTAACGCTTTAACTTTGCTGCCAAGTAATAATTTGAATATTGAATCAAAAGTTTTCAAAATGCCACATGGAAGAGAGTTTACTTTGAAAGAAATTGCATGAATATGGAAATTAAAAGCAGTATACTGTCGTATCAAGGAAATTATTGTTTTTAATGAATAGATCTATTCCTGGAATTTATAAAATATTGGGAAAATCATCACCAATACCTTCTAAATATCGATCATTCCAAAATCCATTCCAGAATACGTATTTTTTTTTTTTTTTTTTTTTTTTTTTTTTTTTTTTTTTTTTTTTTTTTTTTTTTTTTTTTTTTTTTTTTTNAATTTGGTTTTTATACAGCATTCCTGGAAAGCATTTTATTGTGACATTCATTTCTGTTGATCCCCTCCAATTTAAAGCAAAATTTGATGATATTTTCTGTTCTTCTAATCATTTCCTGATAAATTTTGAAAGGTTTTGCTACTTTAATTATTTTTCTATGAAAATACATACTATTAAATATGTGCAAATGAGATAATTCTAAAATTATTATTATATGAATACACAAAACTGATCTTTTGTAAATCAAAAAAGTTCTATCATTGATACTTTTTCATTCTACATGCTCATTTCTGTAACTTTTTGAACACACACAGACAGATAGAGAAATATGTAGGCCTATAGGTAAATGAAAAATGTGTAAATTTTTATTAAATATATTGATAATTCTAGTCTTAAACTAAAAATTAAACAGAAATTATGAATTAAAATTACTATCCAAATTATAATTTAAAAGATATATATACCTGCTGCATCATTAAATTTTTCTTGCCTTAAAGCATCAATTAAATTACCAACAGTGGCTTTATGTCCTTCTTGAGCATGCCACTTTTCCATCAGATTTAAAAAACATTCTTTTAGATCCCATAAATAAATGTTGGCTTGAATCTGAATAGTGCTACAACAAGAAGACATACCAAGACGATGTGCAAGTGTTCTCCAATTTCGAACAAGATGATTATTTTCTCTTAGTACATCAACCATTTCATTATTAATCTCTAAAAATACAATAAATACATTTAAACTTTCTGCAACTTGTATTTTTATCATTAAAATTAAATTGTACATATAACAAATTCATAGTTATTCATGTCATACAATAAATTTTTTTTAAAAATTTGTTTTTCAATCCAGAAATAGTCCCCAAAATAAATTTTAAGTTATAAATGTAGGAATAGTAATAGAAAGGACAATAATATCCTAACATTTGTAACCATCTTCAAATCATGGATAGGACAATAATGTTCTAGTGTCCATAACCATCTTCAGTCCTCCTCACACCTTCACCAACTGTCATCGCCCCTTACTTGTTTCCCTCTCCTGTTCTCCCTCGTCTACTCTGCAACCCTTAGTTTATTTTCTTAACAGTTTAGGAATTTGACTTATCTAACCCCCACATAAACAACAAAATAAAATTTTTAAAAATATTTAATTTTATTGAATGCAATAGTGTCCATAATAGATGATGCATATGTATTAATTCAAATAAATTATTGTCTTTTACAAAATGCATTAATTGGAAGCTTATCCGTCCCATAACAGTACAGACAATAATTTATTTAAAAAACAAAAAACTTTGAATAAAATAAAAGTTCTGAATTTTTCTTACTAACTAACACTGGTATATTTTTCCCAAAAAATAGATCATCCTATTAGAAATGGAATTAAAATTTTTGGGATTGACTAATTTCATAAAATAATTTTGAAAGTCATTTAATCAAATTTTTAAATTGAAATCAATTAAAAATTTTTGGAAAATTTACTACAGTATTTGCATACAGAACAATAACACAGTGTCACTAAAGAACTGAAAATTATATAAAATTAGAGAGAGGGGGGAAAAAATCAATATATCCAGAGAGTATGAAATTATTCTTTGGTTTTTTAAAAGTTTATTATTGAAAAAATGCTTTAAACTCTTGAATAAAATTATGTTTTAATATAAATTTATTCGCAAAGACAAAATAATAAATATCTTTTCTAAATATTTCTTGTATATTATCATTGTTAATTATGTTTGATAGTGTTTTGTAACTTGTAAACATAAAATTGGAATTTGTTTATTCAGTAGCATATTGTGTATATAAATTTCAAAATGATTAATTTCTGAAAAATTTATTGTATATGGTTAAACAAATGATAAATAAAACTCCAATTTCATAAATTATATATATACTAACTTAATTTAAATATCACTTTCTCAACATTTTTGGGCAATCAAGACCATACAGGATAAACAAGACTCTTATATCTTCTGATATTCTTTCATAAGCTCCAATAAATTAGTTTTGATGCATATATTTTCAATTTTATCAGATACGTAAGACAACCATAATAAATTTCAGCAAAAACATTTACTGGAATTTATTAGTTGTCTTGGTGTCTGCTAGATATATTTTCCAATTTTTAATAATTCAATTTTTAATTATCAATCTTAAACTATCTATCAGGATCATTTAAAATTGTTATTATCTGTTTTCATCAAGGTCAAAGGTAACTTTTATCTTAATTTTAAATAACTAGAATAAATCTAGAATACTGATATCTAATCTATTCTGTAGCATGTTATTCCAGATCTAGTATGAATGTAAAGACATTGGAATAACAATCCTTTTGTTCTTCATATTGTATTTGTTCATGTGAAAGTGAAAAAATCTAACATTAAATACTCAATGAAATAAAAAAATCTGTTAAAAATGTGGGTATATTTTTCTTTATTACTAACGTATTGAATTAATATCATCCGTGAAAAATCTATTATGTATTGTTAATCTACTTGTTTAAATTTTCATATTAATATGACTAATAGAAAAAACCTGCAGTGGTACATCAGGTGTAAATTTCTTTGTGAAAACTGCATATGGAAGTTACACATATATAATATTATCAGCAAGGTTAAAGGAACACAAAGATAACATTTGAATAGAAACATATAACAAAATTAATATTCCTTGCAATATTAAAAATACCACAGAATGAAACCAAGTGGTATAAATATAATTTTTAATTTTCATATAAATTTTCTAGTTTTATAAAATTTACTGAAAAAAGGATTTCTATGGCTATTTAAATAGAAGAGCCATTCTTACCAGCATCATGAAATTTTATTTGAATGCTTAATATATTGTATATTTATTAATTATTCACATTTTACAGTTTCTATAATTTATTTTATTTACAGAAAAATAGTGAAAATATATTAGATAGATTTTTATACAATAAAATTTTAAATATTCTATATTAATTTTTGCTTACTGTTTTTTTTTTTACTATTTATGTAAAAATCTATTTGATTCTAGATTTAAATTTCTATTTTGTTCTGGTGACTAAATCTGAAGATAGCTTACAAAAAAGAATACCAAATTTCATTTCTCAATTAAAAATTGCTAGTAAATTAAAAAATGGCTTTCTTTGGTAAAGAATCCAATTACTTTGATATTTACCATATAACATGAATAACGTGACAATAAAGAAAGTTATCATCATGATCTTTTTCCATTTTTTTTACATTAAAATCAGCATTATTAATTTCACAATTGAACATTAATTAAATAATTATAAGTGTCTTACCCTGAATTCTCTTATCAATCCTAATATCATTGTTAACTTCTTCTTCGATGTTTAAGGAAATAAGCTCTTTATATAACCAATCGTAATTTTCAGCTAAACCTTCACAAAAACAAGAAAAGGCTTGAGGACCTCTGCGTGGAAGTATGTTAAGCAACATATTTATCTTTCCTCTTTCCGTTTTTTCA